TGAGATGGTACACCTTGATATCTGAGAAAACTGATCATGAATTATTCTACCTGGATGCCAGTCACTTCTTAAGAGTAGATTAAATGGAGAGATATGAACAGGACAGGATTGACCAACTACCCCCTCCATCATTTTTCCTTTATCCACTCATCCATCCATCCATTCATCCATCTATCCATCCATCCACTGACCCATCCATCCATTGATCCATCCATCCATCCATCCATCCATCCACCCACCCATTCATCCACCCATTCATCCACCCATTCACCCACCCGTCCATCCATCCACCCACCCATCCATCCACCCATTCATCCACCCATCCATCCACCCATTCATCTGTCCATCCATCCATCCATCCATCCATCCATCCATCCATCCATCCATCTCTTTTCCTATTCATTCATCCACCCCTTTATTAGCCCATGGATCAACTCATGTAATCACACAGTCTTTTTGTATTCCATTACTTAACAGTCCAAAGTCTCATAACAGAGTCCTATAAGATTAAAAAAAAATTAAATATTTCTTATTCTAAGAGAGAATGACCAGAGCACAGTTACAATCAAAAGAAAATTTATATTCAACAGTACAAAAAGCATAATGTCCAACATTTGGGATATTCATGATTCTGGCTCCAAAAGACTTCCCTTACCCTGCCATCTACAGGACACAGTTTGTCTCCTAGGCACAGGGTAGTTCCATCCCACACTGTTGTCCTTGGTGGACATCCCACAGTCCCAGCATCGTGACAATGTGAATCTCCACTGCAACTGAGACTGAATCTTCACCAATGCCTCTCCAGGCTTCTTCCTGGACTCCAACCATGAATTGTTGAGCTAAGTCTCTGTGGTTTGCTATGACCTCTTTATGCCACCCAAATCTGGATCATATGAGAGACTCTTGCACATGACCAAGTTCAACTGCCAGTGTTGACAGAGCTTTCTGTCCTGCCCGGTCCCACAGCAATTCTGACCAAAGAAACACACAGAGGTCTACATTAATCATAAATTGGTTGACCTATTAGCTCAGGCTTCTTATTAACTCTTACATCCCATATTAACCCATAATTCTTGTCGGTATCACCCATGTGGCTTGGTACCTTTTATCAGCAAGGCATTCTCATCTTGCTTCCTTTGTGTCTAGGTGACAACTGCAGACTGCACCTTTCCTCTTCCCAGAATTCTCCTGTTCTCATCACCCTGCCTCTACTTCCTGCTTGGTTGTCCCACCTATACTTCCTGCCTGGCTACTGGCCAAAGAGTGCTTTATTAAAACAATACAAGCGACAGGGTACAAGACCATTTTCCCACAGCATGCCAGCTTAAGATGTAGACCACAGCTTCTGTGTGTTGATGACCCTGAGGGAATACTTCCCAGAAGATGTCACCTCAGGGATACTGATCTCTTATTAATCACAATTGATTTTTTTCAATTTTAACTGACCAGCATGTATTTTCCCAATAAAGCAAAGGTTTCAATTCTACAGACTCTGAATTTAATTATATCACATAAACTTTCCTGATGGGTTCTTTACTTTTCTCTGAAACTTCACAGGCCAGGCCTCCATCATCTGCATTCATCTCAATATTCTTATCTTCTAAGACTCCACAGAGAGCTTACTAAGCTCTGAGCACTCAGTGGTATTTCCAGCCCCAAGATCCAAACACATTGACCCTCACCCAAAACAACATGGTCAAGTTCATCACAGTAACAATACCAATTTCTGTTCTAGCATGACCAAAAGCAACCAGGATAGAAAGAGCTTACTGTATTTTACAATTCCCAGGTCACAGTCTGTCTCTGAAGAAAGTCAGGCCAGGAACTCAAAAGAGGATCTGAAGTAGAGATCATGGGAAAATGCTGCTTTCTGGCTTTCTCCCTCTGTCTTTCTTAGGCCCACCTGCCTATGGCTAGCACTGCCCACAGTGGGCTTGGCTTTCCCACATTGACCATCAATCAAAGCAATGTCCTACTGGCAAGTCTGATAGAGAAGTTCTTTAGTTGAGGTTCTGTCTCTACAGGTGTGTTAAACTGACAACTGAAGCTAGCTATGATGCCTCCTAGAGATCTCTCTCTCTCTCTCTCTCTCTCTCTCTCTCTCCTTTGGTTATTTGAATGGGAATGGTTCCCTGTAGGCCTGTGTATTTTAATGCTTGCTCTCTGTTTGATGCTACTGTTTGAGCAGGTTATGGAACCTTTAGGACTTTAGGAAGGTAAAGCCTTCCTGGAAGGAGGAACACCACTGGGTGCTGGATTTTTGTCTGTGGGGGAATGGAAGTTTTGAGGATTTATGGCTTGGCTACACTTCCTGTTCTCTCGCTTCCTGTGAGTAGGTGAAGAAATGTGTTCTGTCGGCTTTCTGCTCTGACCACTAGGCTGACTTGTCTTCTACTCCACTCTGGACTCTTCCAATAGAACTATCAGCCAAAATAAACTCTGCTTGAAGTTTTTTTTTTTCATCATGGTATTTTGCCATAGCAATAAAGAGTTGCTAATACACCATCCACCCCTTTCTTCACCCATCCATCACCCATCATCCATCTCTTCACCTATATATCCAAACCTCTTTACCTATCCATTTCTTCACCACTTATTCATTTTTTGTCTTTGCACACATACACTCCCTGCATAATATTTTACTCTGTGTAAGTTGATTGTGCACAGGGACAGCATAGAATTAGTTACTATTTTCTGAAAGATCACTGTCCCTTTAGGAGTTACAATCTTCTCTCAAAAAGTACAGCTCATTTTGTCTATAAATACCTTAAGCATTACATTTAAAAGCTTTAAATAGAGAAGTATCACAATCAGATTTATGGTTGTCTGAATCAAAATGTTTGACATTTGATCAGGTTGAACAGGTGGCAGGAATTGGAGTCGACATTTGGAGCCGTCTGTCTGGAGATGGGGATCTTCCCAGAGCTTTTGAATCACATGCTCCAGATGAGCAGATGTCACAAGGGCTACTTAGAGAGCAGCTTGAAACCCATAAGCCTTGAACACAGCTGATCTTGGTTTGTAAAGTTAGGAGGAGGCCAGCAACAAGAGCCTTCAAGCACATTATATCCATTTCTTGCTTATCTTGACCTCAGAGTCCCTTATCCTTGGTCTTATAATGTGGAACTCCCTTTCCTTGGTGACTCTTCCTTTTTCTTGGCTAACTAAGCTGACTTACTCTTAAGTTTCAGCCGAAGTAATTTCCTCTGAGAAACCACCTTAGGCTGGGCCAGGTGGTTGCTGTGTATTCTCACATCCACCTCCTCTCACTACTCAACATAGTCAAGAGGAAAGATGTCCTAAGGTCTAATACCACTTGGTTGTGCCGGCCATGCTTGGCAGTGAGGCACCATATGTTGTAATAGGAGCGGCGGGGCTGCGTCCCCAGCACCCCGGCCGCCTCGCTAGCTTATGCCCCAAAATAACAACACACAAATCGTATTCTTTTAAACACTGCTTGGCCCATTATATCTAGCCTCTTCTCGGCTAACTCTAGCACCTGAATTAGCCCATTTCTAATAAAGTGTGTAGCACCAAGGTGCTCTTACTGGGAAGATTCTAGCCTACATCCATCCTGGGCGGGAGCTTGATCGTGGTCTGCCTCAGAGAGCAGAGCTATCGCATCTGCCCTGGAGAGGGGAGCATGGTGTCTCTGAGCTCACTTCCTCTTCCTCCCAGAATTCTGTTCTGTTTACTCCTCCCACCTATGTTTTAACCTATGAGGCCAAGCAGTTTCTTTATTACTTAACCAATGACCTTCCTCCATCAACCATAGACCAGGGTGAATATGCATGACTTGCTCTCAAAAGCGGGCAGTGGATAGCCTGTGCTACTGCATAGCCATCCTGATCCTTTACCGTATTATGTGCCTTTCTCACTAAATTATCTAGTCCAGAGGGACAGGGACTGCCCCTCTCCTGCCTCTCCATATCCCAAGAAACAAAAGAATGAGAGGAGAGAGGAGGGAGGCAGAGAGAGAGCATGAACATGCACGTGAGAGACAGAATCTTGCTAAGTAGCCCAGGCTGGCCTGCCTCCATGCGTTAGACTGAAAAGATCACTGGCCTGAGCTAACAAGTTGAGCAAGGACCTTGCCTCTTCTGTAATTATGAAACACATTTTCTATCAAAATATTAAATCTATTCTTGTTAATTCTGATAAGAGTAAATATGCACTTCCCAAACAGCCCCATTCTTTCAAGGAGGTGTGTGCAGCTAGACTCAACTCTACCTTGGTCTTTTCATTTTGTTTGGTATATTGCTGTGTCAACTTGAAAAATGTTTGCTCTTTTATTTCTTAATAACTTTGCCAGGCTACTCACCAACATGACAAGGCAGGCTCTAGCAGACATGAACTGGTTTGAAGGGCTCAGCCACCTATGGATAGGGAGTAAAAGGGGAAACTCTCTTGAGGTAGCCCAGAAACAATGAGTGTTACAAATTCCACAAGACACAGGCTGAAAGCTGAAAACATTCTGTCCTCATCTGCAAGGTTGCCTGGGAAATGAAGTCCTTCACGGCATGTTGCTTGTAGGAAAGGTGAAGGATACAATATAAGTGAGGAACACTGCCAGCACAGGCTCTGAAGGTACTGCATGGAAGGTCATGGCCATCCCATCCACCTCACAGAGCTGTCTGCAGAGGGCTGATGGCTTGTTCTGTTTCCAGCTGGCTTCCATAGCCACTCTCCTGAAGGTTCTGCAGCACATATGTTTAGAGTAATTTTCCACTAGGTGCTTACAACTAACTAAACGATGACCCCAAGAGAGAAACTGCTTGGCTCCCACACGGTCCTAGGCAGGGCGCCAGGGCTCTGCTCCCAAGATAAGCAGAGACAAATGACATATGGAAGCAGGAGAGATAAGGTGTCCCTTCACAAGGACAGTGTAAGAATTCAGAACAGTCACGTCCTGCTTCCTGCCACAACTCAGACATGGTGCTTTTATAGGTTAAAGCAAAAGCAACAAACAAAACAAGCAAGGAATGGCAGCAAAACCAACTATTGGGTAGTAGGTGTAAGAGCTGTGCTCACCTGTAAGCCAGAGGATCGCAAACTCAAGGTCAGTCTGAGCTACAAAATGAAACCCTGTTTTAAAAAAAAAAATGTAAAAATTAAAGAGAGACTGTAGCTTGGGCTCACTTGGATTTTGGAAGAGGCAGAAAGACTGGAGGAATCATGCTTAGTCAGCAACTGGAAATTTGGGGTTGTGGACTGACTGAGGGGTTCCAAAGCACAGGTTAGTGAGCGCAGAAGGGAGATCATAGAAGAAGTAAGTAGCAAATTCTTAGAGGGTTTCATTCATGAATGTTCCGGTGCTTCGCTGGAAACAGACAAAACCATAACTCGAGTCCTTCCTGTTTAACCTGTCTCTGCAGGGTTCAGTCAGCAGACAATGAAAGATGTCCATCTGTTTGAAAACAAGAGGAACAAACAGTTTGGCTAAGAAACACAGAGAGAATCTTCCGCAGAGAAACTCCTCAATAGCGTCATGCGAAAGTTCTGAGTCTAAATGTCATTGTTTTTATAGTACACCACAGTTGAATGGTTTTGTCCATCTGAAATTACTTCTTATCATAGAATTCGCCCTGCGAAGCAGTAAGGAAACCAGCACATCCACGACTGTGAACTCAGAGTTGCCCTGAAGGGCACCTCACTACATCCATGACTGTGAACTCAGAGTTGTTCCGAAGGCACCCCGATAAGCGTCTTCATTTTGTGATTCTAAGCGGAAGCAAAAGACCACACTAATCTCCCCAGGTGTATCGTGGAGAGGCGACAGGCGCCACATCACCTGGCGAGCATGATGCATTGCTGCAAGCACACGGAGGCTGTCTTAGTGAACATGGCTGGCTGACTGGCATGCTTTGGAATGCTGGCAGAAATCAGGGGAAAAGTCTTGAGAACCGCTTAGGTAAGTGGCATAGACTTCAATTACAATTAGGTAACTTGGCATAGACTGAAGTCCAACATTTCAAATAACGGTACAAAATGACTAAACCTTTGTCTTCTAGAAATGTCAATATGCATCCCGCATCTTGAATAATTCTCCGAAGTCCATGACTTTTGAAATTATCAGTAAAGTAGGTCGTTGCTTTGGTAAAAGCTTAATACCAGGGCCAGCAAGATGGCCCAGCAGGTAAAGGCTCTTGCTGCTAAGGCTGACAACCTGGGCTTGATCCCGGGGACGCACACGGTAGAAGGAGAGCGTTCACTCTAGCAGTTAGTCCTACGGCCTCTGCACCTGCCCCATGGCACACACACAAACAGGCAGGTCTTCTCCCAGTGAAGTGTGACGGTCACCAGCCCCAAATGCTGTGACCACTATCTCTTTCCGTCAGAGCATTCGGGGGCATCATTACATTGAGGCCACTGAAAATTTGTTTAGGTAGCAAAAATATAAAACCGGACATATTGGGAGATTCTCATTTCCTCCTTCCTCCTTAAGCTAGGTATCATCTGCTGCCTGAGATGTGAATGAGGCCTCAGGCAGGCACCACAGTGAGGCTCGCCTGACCAGGCCTGTGAAGGAAGCACCTCACCCCTCTCCTCAGGTTCTTTGTGGAGTCTCCGGAGGCAGTTTCTGGGCATGGAGGACATGACGTGGTAACTTCAGAAAAGAGCTCCTGTACGAGGAATGCCAAAAGGGGCACCAAGCATGCTGGGATTGAAGTCAACTCTGGGCCATAATGAAACCCAGACCTCCTACTTTTTTGAGAGACAGCCAACTGCTGGGCTCCCTCTCTGCTATGTGAGGAGCCAAATCCTCTGCATCCTGGCCCCAATATGCTTCAGGGTAGCTATCATCTATCAGTAACTGCTTTGGGGAAAGAACATGAAAAAGGAGTGAGCCCACTGATCACATCTAGGGGATTTGGGAGGATGGAGAGTTCTTTTTTCCTCCCACATGTTCATGTGTATATGTGCACATGTTTATACATGTGTGTGGATGTCAGAGGTCAACAGTGGGTGTGTTCTTCAGGTTCTATGAATCTTATTTATTGAGGCAGGATCTCTCACTGAACCTGCTGGCCGGGAACTTCAGGGCTCAACATGCCTCTGCCTCTTCAGGGCTGTGGTTACAGACAGGTGCTGCCACGCCCAGCTTTTCAGACTGGTGCTGAGATGTAAAGGCAGGCTCTAGTCCTTGGGTGGGCAAGCACTTTACTGTGTTCCTGTAGAATGTGGTGGCAATTCTCAGGCCACCTGCCCCCTAGCACTCACAGAGAAGACAGCCTCCTCCTGGATGTGCCAGTGCCTGGGACAACTGCAGCAAGTGGCAGGGACTGCAACTGAGTCACAAGACCTTCAGGGCATGCAGCGCTTTCTCTGGAGTGCGTGCCTGGAAGACTCAGACGAAATCTTGTCGTTTTACTTCTCACTCATTTCCAACAGCAGCTTTGCCTCTGCTTTCATGCAGCTTAGGGTTTAGTTTCTTTTTTTTTCTTCAATTGTTCAAACTTTATTTCAGGTTTGGTGGGACCTGGTTTGTAGGTTTTAAACTGTACAGGTATTCCTATGCCTAGTGGGGTTAAAGCACTCAGAAACAGATCAAAGCAGGAAGCTGTACCTCTCTTCTCCCTTAGATCTTAGGTATCTTGACCTCCTGCACAGGTCAAGGTCAAGAAGCTACGCTCTAGGAGACTCCCTCGGCAGAAACCTCCCACTGCTGTGACTTCTCCTTTCCTGGCCAGGAGAAGCAGAAGACCTGGTCATGTGCGCATCACCTCTCCCCATCCTCACCTCTTCTCTGTCTGCTCAGGTGCTGGCTTAGAATGGGAGCCACCAGGTGTGAGAAGTTGGCTACAGCTCTAAGCATTTCATATCTGACATAGCCATGAGGCATACTGTAAGGGCTAATGAAACACTGAACAAAATTTATTATACTAAAGGCATAAGCATGCATTTAAATAAGTGCCCTGAATTTCGTTTTGCTGAATTCTAATTTTAAAATTGGTATTGAATTTGTGCTTTTTGTTGTTGTTGTCGTTCCGGGTAATGGCTGCATTAGCAAGGCATAGACACTCTGATACAAATTCATTTTTCTTGGGTGAAAATACCTTATTATTCTTAACTATTTCTTTCAAACTCAACCGGTCATTAGCATACATAATCATAGCGGTGTACATCTAATCAGTTCACTTCCACAGAAAGAGTGTTCGAGGCTTTGTAAACCCCTCCTTGTATCCACCACAACCCCTCATTTTAAAGTAAATGAATGTTTGTACATGTGTGTTATTAAAATATCATCAGGGTTAGTTCAGGTAGGAACACCTAGGGAAGAAGTTGCTGACACCTCTAATGCTCCTTTGGCTCCTCCTCCTCAGTTCTCCAGGACATTCATATGGTAATCTCTCCCAGCTGGTGAGGAGCACAGCTCCTGGAAGAGGAAAGAGCAGGAGCCCCACCCTGCTCCCCAGCTGTATGCCATTACACTATTCCCAGCTCACAGGAAATGAACAATCATTTAGCCTTGACAGGTACATCCAGAAACCCACTGTCTTCCTTTCAGCCTCCCGAGCAGGCAGGGGCTGCAGAAGGCCAGCTTTAAAGCATGCCTCACTTTCTGTTATTGTTGTTTGTTTGTTTGTTGGTTGGTTTTTGCAACAATTGAGACGCTGTCTTGTGGAAGCTTTTGAAAGTACTCTGGGGAATAGTTTAGAAACGTGGGGCATAAAACCCCAATTACCCAAGATACATCTTGCTCATGAAGGTATGAACTTAGTCTCTTGTGACTGAGGAAGGTCAGATTTACTTGGTAGTCATTGGGGTGTAACTCAGTGGCCTTTTAAGTAGGTTCTCAAACTTCACTCAAAAGCAAAGTTGTCAGCAACGTGTTCCCATTTCAGGAGCCCCGGAAGCAACGCCATACCTGATAAGAAGTCTATCTTTATCTTTATACTTATCCCTTTGTGCTAGCCATTTTTCCGTCAACTGAAAGTGTCTTCATTTTCTAGAGATGCTTTTCAAAGTAGAACTTTACTCAATACAAAACAACCCTCTTCTTAAGAGGAGCATGTATGTCCATGTCTCATTACAGCAGGCTTCCACATGACATGACTATAGAACCACAGGACCCGGGGAGGCAGCATGGCCTGCATGTGAGGCAGCACGGCCTGCCTGAGCCACAGCTGTCACTGGCCTGGAGAGACAGCAGCCTTCTGGCTCCCTGGGAGGCAAAGCTGTTTAGTCTGTGGAGTTGAGGGTTTTCAAACATTTACTTCAGCTTGCCTTGCTTTGCTCCTCATTGTGATCCAGTGCCACTCCTTTGCACCAAACCCAGATCAAACTCTCCCCTTCCACTACCTCCCCCCTGTTTCAGAATAAGAAAGTCAGAGTTTGAACATGGAATGCATGTGCTTCTCACGAGGCTGTTCAGAAGGCCAGAGGATGAGGACCGAGGCTGGCCTTTCTCCAGATCTTTCAACAGACTTTCCAGGGTCAGATTGATGTTACCGGTCATGGCCCAAGCTGCATGAGTCACCCAGTTCAGCCATCCCTTCTTGCTGCCACTCCATCTCCCTGTTCCCCCCATCTTCATGGTTTTCCCTATCCGTTTGTGAGAAATCTGCTTTTCATTGTACCTGGGGACTCAGCAGTGCACAGTGAGTGCCTGGTAGACACCTTGGTGCAGAAACCTGGAATCTTCCAGCGTCTAGATGAGCTGCCTTGAACAGCATGACTCATGGTGACAGCATGCATTCCTGGGCAGCATTTATAGGTAACCAGTGGCTGAGCCATTGCAGGTGCCGCACATCTGAGTGTTCTCATTCAAGCTCACCTCCATGTTGCCTTTGCGTCTTCTGAAGCATACCTTCACAGGGTGAACAGGAAGACTATAGCATTTTTTATTATAGTTGGCTTCCTTTGCTGAATTAGCATTTATATTTTCCTAGGAGAAATCCCCAAATTGAAAATAGAGAGGTGTCAGCTAGCACCACTTTAGTTACGACTGTGTCAACATTTCCTATAAACCTTGTTTTTCTAGGGTTTATAACTAGACCATAAAAAATTGCTCAGCTCTAAAACTTGGCACAGAAAGTAAACCTGGGAATGAATTTTTGCAGAATTTGAAGAGGAAAAAAATAAGTTCAGCTGTTGTTGACATGTGTTGGTGTCAAATGGAGGCGAGCTTAAGATACACTCCTTTTTCTTTTCGTAAGGAATGCGCTCCTCAAGAGATTGTTTCATTATAAGGACTAATTGCCCTGGGTAGTTTTTAGATTAACATTAGCCCACTGGCTGCATCTGCAGGTACTTGTTTGTGCAGAGGAGTTAGGTGTGCACAGTAATGCAATTTGGCAGATTGCACACACCTTTGGGCATCAAACCAATAGCACCAAAGGAATACTGATAAGAAGCTAATGGGCCATTTCAAGACACATATTCACCAAGGACAGGGGCCCCTTGTTCATCTGTTCTTTGTCTTTAACTTGATTTTCTCTGATGACCCTAAGGTGGTAATGTGACATTTGTATTGAGAGTCACTTTCTGTTCCCCTAGGCATCCCTTTCCAAGGAGGGGCTTACTCTCTGCAACCCCCGTTACTCACGCTGCCCTTTGGTAGAGCTGGTGGGATGGAGGGGTAGTGGAAGCAGTGCCTCCATTGTTGATATTGTGAATGAAGCTTTGGCCTGCACTGGACCACAATCTCTGGACTGATGATAGCCAAGGGTGACAGGAGCATTACAGAGATGATAAATTTCCTCCAGAATTTGAGTCTAAATTCCTTTGTATTCAAAGACTGAAAATGGAGTTCTGTCATAGTGAGCTTGAATTCCAACTGGTCACCAGTGGGCAGTCAATGCCTGCCTGGAGAGGGAGTAATATTTGTTGACCTTCCAGGGTTACTGACAGGATGGACCCAAATCATTATACACAGGAAAGCACTCTCAAAACTGTAAACGACCATCT